ATTATAGATAATTGTGTGGAATTATTTTTTAAGATGGTGATCAAAAATGTCCATAGTGTACTTCTTAGAAATTTATATATAGGGTATTGAAATAAAAAAGAACAAAATACTTAACTGTGTCAACTTCCAGCACACAGAGAAAAGAGGTGTGAAGTTTTGTTAAGGATAAATTAATATTTCAGTTACTTAAGGTAGATCTGTTCAGGCAGCAAGTAGTACCTCATCTGGTTTAACATCAATTCAGCTTCTCTAATATGGAAGTCAAAACCTATTCACCGTTGACTTAATCTCAGGGTCTGAGGTTTATTTTATAATAAATTTGTTAGTTTAATCTAGTCTTTAAAGAAGTTGGGGCCTAATCCCACATGATGGAGATTAGGGCCTACTTTTTCTTCTGTTGGACACAGGGTCTCTGGTTTTATTCCTAAGTCCTTGATTCATTTTGAGTTGAGTTTGTGCATTGTGAGAGGGATTTAGTTTCATTTCTTCGAATATGGATTTCCAGTTTTCTCAGCACCATTTATTGAAGAGGCTCTCTTTTCTCCAATGCATGTTTTTGGCACCTTTGTCTAATATAAGATAATTGTAATTTTGTGGGTTAGTCTCTGTGTCCTCTATTCTGTACCATTGGTCTACCAGTCTGTTTTGGTGCTAATACTATGCTGTTTTTGTTACTATTGCTCTGTAGTATAGTTTAAGGTCTGGTATAGTGATGCCACCTGCTTCACTCTTCCTGCTAAGCATTGCTTTAGCTATTTCTGGGTCTCTTATTTTTCCAGATGAATTTTATGACTGCTTTTTCTATTTCTATAAGGAATGTCATTGGGATTTTGATCAGAATTGCATTAAATTGATATTGTGCTTTTGGTAGTATGGTCATTTTGATAATATTAATTCTGCCTATCCAAGGGCAAGGTAGATATTTCCATCTTCTGAGGTCTTCTTTGATTTCTTTCTTTAGGGTTCTGTAATTTTCATTATATAGATCTTTCACCTCTTTCATTAAGTTGTTCCCAATTATTTTTGTGTTTTTTTTTTTTTTTTTTTTTTGAGGCTATTGAGAATGGGGTAGTTTTCCTCATTTCCCTCTCAGGATTTATCACTGATATACAGAAATAACTTTGATTTATGGGTATTGATTTTATATACTGCTATTTTGCTGAATTCATTTACTAGTTATAGGAGTTTTCTGGTGGAACTTTTAGGGTCTTCTAGGCATAGAATCATATCATCAGCAAAAAGTGCCAATTTGAGTTTTTCTTTTCCTATGCGTATCCCTTTAATTTTTTTTCTTTCTAATTGCACTGCCAGTGTTTCAAGAGCCATGTTAAATAGAAGTGGTGAAAGAGATCATCCCAGTCTTGTTCCAGTTTTTAGAGGGAATGCCTTTGATTTTTCTCCATTTAGAATGATGTTGGCCTGGGGCTTAGCATAGATAGCCTTTATAATGTTGAGATATGTTCCTGTTGCCCCAAGTTTTTCTATTGTTTTGAACATAAAAGGTGCTATATTTTGTGAAATGCTTTTTCTGCGTCTATTGTGATGATCATATGATTCTTATCTTTAAGTCTGTTGATGTGGTGAATTACATTTATTGATTTCCATATGTTGAACCAGACTTGCATCCCTGGGATGAATCCCACTTAATCATGGTGCATGATCTTTTTGATGTTTTTGTATTCAATTTGCCAGAATTTTATTGAGAATTTTTGCATCTATGTTCATTAGAGATATTGGTCTGAAGTTTTCTTTTTTGGATGTGTCTTTGCCTGTTTTTGGAATCAGGGTGATATTGACCTCATAGAATGAGTTTGGAACTGCTCCCTCTTTTTCTATTTTCTGAAATAAATTGAAGGGTATTAGTATTAGTTCTTCTTTAAAGTCTTGTAGAACTCTGCTGTGTATCCATCCGGTCCTGGGCTTTTCTTGCTTGGTAGACTTTTGATGGCGTCTTCTATTTTGTCACTTGAAATTGATCTGTTTAAATTGTGTATATCATCCTGATTCAATTTGGGAAAATTATATGACTCTAGAAATTTTTTGATGCCTAATTATCTTCCGTATTTCTGTAGTGTCTGTTGATATTTCTTTTTTTTTTATCACCTATATTAGTAATTTGAGTTTTCTTTCTCCTTCTCTTTATTAGCATGGCTAAGAGTCTGTCAATTTTATTTATTTTTTCAAAGAACCAACTTTTTGTTCTGTCAATTTTTTCAATTGTTTCTTTTAATTTCATTGATTTCAGTTCTTATTTTAAATATTTCCTGTCTTTTACTGCTTTTCGTGTTGATTTGTTCTTTTTCTAGGGCTTTGAGATGTAATGTTAAGTCATTTATGTGTTGACTTTTTCTTCTTTTAAGGAATGAACTCCATGCAATGAACTTTTCTCTCAGAACTGCTTTCATAGTATCCCAGAAATTTTGATATGTTGTATCTGTGTTCTCATTCACCTCTAAAATTTTTTAATCTCCTCCTTGATGTCTTCTGCAACCTGTTGTTCATTCAGTAACATATTATTTAGTCTCCAGGTGTTGGAGTGGCTTTTATTTCCTATTTTATCATTGATTTCTAATTTTATTCCATCATGATCTGATGGAATGCAGGATAGTATCTCTGCTTTTTTATATTTGCTAAGAGTTGCTTTGTGGCATAGTCTATTTTAGAGAAAGATCATGTGCTGCTGAGAAGAAAGTGTATTCTCTTATTGAAGGATGAAATATTCTATGTATGTCAGTTAAGTCTAAGTTATTGATTGTATTATTGAGTTCTATAGTTTCTTTGTTCAGCTTTTGTTTGGAAGATCTATCTAGTGATGAAAGAGGTGTGTTAAAGTCACCCAAAATTATTTTGTTGTGGTCTATTTGACTCTTGAACTTGAGAAGAGTTTGTTTGATGAATGTAGACATGAGGATGGAAACCACTGCTTGCTTCCGCAGTCCATGTGAGTGGTATGATTTTTCCCAACCCTTCACCTTCAGTCTGTCAATGTCTTTGTCTATGAGATGAGTCTCTTGGAGGTAGCATATTGTTGGGTCTTTTTTTTTTTTTTTAAATCCAATCTGTTAGTCTATGTCTTTTGTTTGGTGAATTTAGGCCATTAATAACATTCAGGGTTATTATTGAGACATGATTTGTATTTCCAGACATTTTTGTTTATTTTTGGTGTATAACATGACTTGGTTTCTCCTCTGATTAGATTTTCCTTTAGTGTAATACCTCCCTTTGTTGATTTTCATCATTTTGTTTTTCCATTTCCTCTTCTTGGAATATTTTGCTGAGGATGTAACTTTTGTTTATCATGGAAGGTTTTTATTTCATCATCAAATCTAAGCTTAGTTTTGCTGGATATGATTCTTGGTTGGCATCCATTTTCTTTCAGAGTTTGGTATATGTTGTTCCACAACCTCCTGGCTTTGAGGGTCTGGGTTGAAAAATCTGCTGAGATACGAATTGATCTCCCCTTATATGTGATCTGATTCCTCTCTCTTGTGGCTTTCAAGATTCTATCCTTATTCTGTATGCTAGGCATTTTCATTATAATGTGTCTTGGTATAGATCTTTGTAATTTTGTACATTTGGTGTCCTGTAAGCCTCTTGTATTGTATTTTCCAATTCATTATTTATGCTTGGGAAATTTTCTGATATTATCTCACTGAAGAGATTGTGCATTCCTTTGCTTTGAAACTTTGTGCCTTCCTCTATCCTAATAACTCAGATTTGGTCTTTTAATGCTGTCACATAATTCTTGGATGTTCTGTTCATGGTTTCTTACCGTCTTTACTGTGTGATCAACTTTATTTTCCAGATTGTACACTTTGTCTTCATTTTCTGATGTTCTTTCTTCCAAGTGATCTAGTCTGTTGGTTATGCTTTCTATTGCATTTTTTATTTGATTTATTGTATCCTTCATTTCAAGGATTTCTGTGTTTTTTTTCAGGGTCTCTCTTTCTCTCAATAATCTTTTGCTACCTGTATTTGCTCTCTTATCTCTTTGTTGGACTGATCATTTTTTCCCTGTATTTCCTCATTTAGATTATTCTTTAATTCACAGATCATTTTAATTATGAACCTTCTGAACTCTTTCTCTGACATTTTAATAACTTCGCTGTCCATGGGTTCTATTACTATAGTATCCTGGTTTGTTTGGGGCACTTTCCTCCCTTGTTTTTTCATGTTGTCTATGGGTCTTCCTTTCTTGCAGTGTGGATCTGAGATATACAGTTTCTTCCCTATATTCTTATAGTACTCATGCAGATTGTCTGTATCTCACCTTGATGTTGGGCTTCTAGACCCTGCTAGTATCCCTCAATGTGTGCTACTGCATCTAAAGGTGGTGGTGGCAATAGCCGAGGTAACTCGAGATAATAGTTAAGGTGCCCCAAGTTGGAAGCAATGTCTTACAGAGATGAGGCTGAAAGGGTGGGCCTCACACTCCCTTTGGCATGCCTACTCTGAGATGCAGCTGCTTCTAGTCCCTGTCTACTGTCAGGGGCTAGTGCATGGGGAAGGCTATGGCGATGAATACAGTGTCCCAAGATGGAAGTGTGTTAGGTAGGCTTAGGCTTCCAGGTGGCAGGGCGGTGGGCCGAGTGCGAACTCAGACTTACCTGGGTCCTACACAAGTCAGTGTGGATGGATCTGGGCGGGGCCTGGGCTCCCACAGTAGTCTGCTGATTGGAAGAGGCGGTCCAATGCCAGAAGCTGGGCTCCTGTGGGTGTCTGCCCCATGGGTGGAGGGGTGAACCAGGGGCCTTYTATGAGCCTGGGTCCCACACAGGCTGGAGTGGGCGGTCTCTGGGACTTTTTCAATATAGAAAGGTATAATTAGATTTTGGCCTTTTAGATCATAGTGACTCTGCTTTTTGTTATATAATTGTTCTGTTTGGTTTTATTCTTCAAGATACTTCATGTTTTTTGAGCATATTTATTCTTGGTTCCTTTGGATTTTAAAAAAATATCTCATACTAAATAAGCATGTGTTTTCTTTCCTTTTATTRTAGCTTCAAATAGATTGGGAGAAAATCAAAGCCAAAATTGAGATGGAAATTACTAAGGAACGAGAGCGATCATCAAGCAGCCTGTCCAGCAAGAACATGGGGCTAAAGCACTAAGTGACATGCTAACCTTTAAAAATGTTATCTTTTGAAATTAATTTTGACTAGACAAAGATAAGCATGTTTTGGTTGCTAAAGAAAAATGCATCATCTTTAAATAATAATGAGCACTTTCTGCATATTAGTAAAAGTACATTCAATTCAGTAAGGTTAAGTGCAGAATAATTGATGTAATGCCATCTTTTATATTTTTCTAATTAGCCATTTCTTTATACGTCTCTATACCTGTTGATTACATTCCAGTTTTTTCTTTATTACTTTATCCCTGAATCTTCAGTTTCAACAATTTTAATGCTGATAATAGAACATTGAATTCTTTAAAATGTATGCTATCATTAATTTATTTGACCTCCACATTGTAAAACACCTCCAAAATTTTATAAAAAAAAATGATAATGATGGATTTTTGAAAATGTGTAACAATGTAGACACTTGAATACTGAAGTTCATAGCAGCATTATTTGAATAGTAATGGGTGAAAACAACTCAAATATCCATCAACAGATGAGTGATAAACTAGTGTGGTATGCACATACAATAAAATATTATTTACTGTTACCATGAAATTAAATTCTGTTACATGCTACAAGATGGAAAAATTATGCAAAATGAAATAAACCAGACACAAAGGTCTAATAGTCTGTGATACTACTTATATGAGAATAAGCAAATTCATAGAGACAGAAAGGAAAATAGTGATTATCAGTGATCAGAGAGAGGGGGAGGAGTTTATCATTTAAAGGACATAGAGTTTATGTTTAGGATAAACAAATTCTGGAAATACAGATAGTGGTTGTGGCCTCACAACATCATAAATATTAATGCCTCTGAATTATAGTCTTAAAATGATTAAAATGCTAAATCTTATTATGTAAATTTAACATAATTTAAAAAACATACATAGAATAAGCAAGAGGTATTTCCTTTATTCCTCTCCTGACTTGAGAATGATCTGGCTATAGGCCCTGGGAATCTGAAAGATTTGTGAAAATCTCCTTAGTTAATAAACCTATTTGACTAGCTTTAACTCAGTATGTCCCAAAATTATTATTACCACAAAAGCTTTTTAACAATAATACAAAGATCCCTTAGAAAGCCTCCCATGAATTTGTATTTTGGCAACAGTACATTATAGAGTGGGTATGTGCATATACATTGGAAAAGGATTAACTCTTTTACCTTCATTTTAATTACTCTTTAGTTTTTTTCTTTTATAAAAATGTTCTTTACTTTTCAACACATTTCTTTTCTGAAATGTTGGAATATGCTATTCTTGATGCAGATGCTGGATGTAAGGATGTATTCAGTTTGTGAAATCTGACTAATCAGTTTATTTGTAAGTTGTCCTGAAAAGTTTATATATGCTTTCTATATTGTTATATTTCAATGAAAAGCTTAAAAATAAAATAGTTTAAAGGATAAATTTTATGTTATGTATATTTTACCACAATTAAAAGAAGTAAAAAATACTAATGACAGGTTTGTGTTTAACAAAAATTTTCTGATATCCTATAATTCAATTCCATTCTGACAATGACTACTTAGAGTTGGCATTAGATCCCACAAGTTAAATGTCAAGGTCCCCAACAAGATTGCCCTTTCTTCAGACACCATCTGTAAGTAGAGTCCCTGGCCTTCTCTGAAGTCCCTGGGTTACCTGGACTTGTGTCTGAGTTGGCTGCACATTTAGGGGTTCCTAAAACCCCTCTTCACATTTGATAATTTTTTAGAATGATTCACAGAACTCACTCAAAGTCTTTGCTTAATAGTTTTATTTGAAAGGATACAACTCATGAAAAGCTACATAGAATAAATGCAAGGTCTGAGGGGGCTTTTGAGGTAGGGTGGAAGGGAAGAGGAAGGGACACAGAACTTCCATATTCTCTCCCTGTTGAATCTAGGTGCAGCATATTTCCAGCTCATAAATGTGTTTACCAACCAGGAAGCCCTTTAACCCAGCCTTCCTGTCCTGAGAGCTTTTTTTTTTTTTTTTTCAATTAGGGTTTCATTACATATGCATTGGCTATGCAACTGAATTCAATATCCAGGCTCCCTCCTCTGATTGGAGATATAGTAACTAAAATTCCAACCTTTTGATTTATTTATTTTTGGCAACCAGCCTCCTTATGGCTACTATCTAGGTCCCCTCCCCAAAAATCATTTCATTAGCATAACAAATACTCTTATCTCTCAAGGAATTTCATGGATTATTTTGAATTGTCTGTGTTAGGAACCCTCTTTTCTCACCCCATAAAAGACCAGATATATATTTTTATTTTTTGGTGGTGCTGGGTATTGAACCCAGAGCCTTGTACATGCGAGGCAAACACTCTATCAACTGAGCTATATCTCCAGCCCCAGATACATTCTTTGTATACCACAGGCCTCCCCTGGTCTTTGACTATAGGAGTTTTTTTTTGTTGTTGTTGTTTTCAGAAAATGTATTGGGATTTAGTTTTTTTCCCTTTTTATTGGCATATTATAATTATACTATGTTTTATAGCGAAAGGATCATTCCTGACTGAGCCTAACAGATATAGCAACATTTGTAGTTTTCCAACATACTTAACAGTATCAGCATTATAATCTTACCCACAAGGCCAGCGGTAGTAGACATTATGATAGGTGTAACCTGAGAAATAAGTTTTTAAATACTGGTACATTACTAGAGTTCCATCTAGTCCCTAATAATTAGTCCAGTCCATCATTTTGAATGATCAACATATCTCCCAGTATAAAATCACTATGATTTGCAGGCTTCCATTTGATCATGTCAGATTCTAAATGAAAAAATGGTCTCAGCAACACAAGATGTCACCATTTAGGCATCTGGTATAATTGAGCTAAGAGTTAATGTCATCTCTTCCTCTGATCCTCTTTTGAAGCATTAATGTAATACTGGAATTCTCTATTTAATTCATTTATTCATTCCTTCACCTTTAGCTACTATTTCTACTTTTCTAAAATTTATACTCAAACTTTCAACCTTTGGAAGGGACTGTATATTTGGCCATTGTGCCGCTCCAGATTCTAGGCAATAATAGTAATCTAGCAAGTACTTCTTCTTCAATCTATTCCATGTAGAGTGTAATTACATAAGTACAAAATTAACGGGCTGTTTCTACCAGTTATCAATATAACTATATTCATGGTTAGCTTCAGTTTTGCCAAATAGGGTGCTCTGGTTTGAATGTCCCCTCCGAAACTTAGGTTGAAATTTAATTGCTACTGTGAAAGTATCAGGTGGGACATTTATAAAGTATTTAGGTCATGAGGACTCTGCCCTCATGAATAAATAAATTTTTTTATCAAAGGAGTGGGTTAGTTATAAAGCAAGCTCTCTTGAGTGTGTATTCTCTTGTTTCTCACCTTCTCACATGCTTTCTTGCCATGTAATGCCCTCCATCATGTTATGACACAGTAAGAAGTCCTTCCCCTGATGCTGGCACCTTCATGCTTCTCAGCTTCCAGGACTATGAGAAATAAATTTCTTTTCTTTATAAATTATCCAATTTATAGCATTTCATTATAGCAGCAGAAAATGACTAAGACATGGATGAAGGCACAACCCATCTCCATCAGGCACTTAGGAATTCTGACATAGAGATTTAAAGTAGTATTTCAGTTTTTTGCTTAGGAATCATCCCTGCTTCCATTACTTGTAGCTGCCACCCTGGTCCTAGGTCACTGCATCAAGTAGGAAAAAGAAAATGGAAGAAATGTGAGCAAGAAAGGAAAAAGTAGAATCATAGCAACATCCTCTCCATTTTTAGAATTGTATAATTATGCCAGTATCCTTCCCCAGTCTCTCTTCCCCAGATCCACCAGAAAAGCACAAGAATCTAATGCAGACAGTCTGTAAGCACATATTCCTGAAAACATGTAAGCCAGCCCTTCATGCCCGTATCTCCCCCTATTTAAAGATTCAGTTACATGTTCTTTTTTAAAAAATCTTTTTAGTTGTTGATGGACACAATACATTTATTTGTTTATTATATGTAGTGCTATGGATCCAACCCAGTTCATCACACATGCTAGGCAAGCACTCTACCCCTGAGCTACACCCTACCCCAATTGCATGTTCTGATTCTCCTTTGAACTATTACTCTGAGAAGGACATCTCTCTGTCATTGTTAGATATCGGTCTTCCTTGGTTTGAAGAAATATGCCTTGGTGGTTGAATTGGTGCAATATCTTCTCTTCTGGTTTTTAATAACACTCTGAACATTAGCATCTATCCCCAAATAAGCAAAACCACTCCAGAGTACCTGTTTCTGCCAGGATTCATATGTAGCTTCTCCCAGGTCTACTGGTATCAGTCCAGCTTATCAGTTAGGGATAGGGTTTTCCCCCTAGAGAATATGTGCCAGAGCCATCTATCTGTAGTTTCTGTCTTTCTGACAAAAAGAATAGTTCTAGTGCACATTTTGTTCCTCAGCAGATACAAGAAGAACATGTCTATATTCAGTCTATTTCTGCATTACCTCAGAGCCCTGCATCAATTCATTTTATTAACCTAGGTGGCTATGTCAAGTGAACACACTGGGTCATCTACTTCTTGATTCCAATCACCTTCCTATACTGGAAGCACTTCTGATGGGCTTTGACATGTTCCATTTTAATGCACCCTGAAATTCCCATTGTGATTTCCACAGAGCTGTGCCCAATAAAGACATCCCTTTAATAGGCACAGTCTCCTTTTGCCTGACTATGTGGTAAAAACACAAACAGGAATAAATGGCATGCAATGCATCCCACAAAGGTGATTGGCTTTTCTCTTCTTTGATCAGAGCCTGACCTTCCCCCCAACCAAAAAAAAAAAAAAAAAAGTGATGCATTCACATTGGAACCACCATTAATTAATCATGAAGCTATTTATTAGTTCAGTTAAAAATATTTATAGGGCACTGTCCAAAAGATCATAGAAACGGGTAGCAGCTTGGGTGGTTTCAAAGTCAGTACTAAGAGATAGGTTACCTGCTCATGAATATGTTGCATTCCCCCAGTCCATATTCCATACAAACCATTCCATTTTATTATGGAACTGTTCTTATCATTGCTCTCCTCATTAATGTTTATCTAATACTAATCCAGACAACATAGATATTTCAGGTTTTAAGATTATTTTATGTCCTGCAGTCATAGAAGTGGTTTAAAACTTTAATTTTAATATTTTCCTCTCAAATGGAAATTCTGTACTACTCTCAGGAGTTGTTGCTGGGAGAGATTCACATGCTTTTGCATAAGCCCCAGTCTCTGAAGCATACAGGACTATTGTACTGAGAATTTGTCTAATGAATTTGTGGATTCCAGCTTTTAATCTACACTGTGTGGGTTTAGGGACCTTCTTTATATCCTTTGGCTTAAAGGGAAGGTTTACATGTCATATTTTTACTATTATAGGTAAGGGAAATGTTCCCCAGTCAGACACATACTCAGGTAAGAGCCATAAATACTTCACATAAACCTTGTTAAAATGTATCAAWTTTTATTCAAACTTCTACCTTCATCTCATCAAATCTTGCATTTCTGTTTCCTCTGAATCTAATGTGGCTCCCATTAGGTCTTCAGCAGATTTTGGCACCACAGTAAATAGGGCTACATGTCAAGGTGTCCCAGAAGTTTCTCTTCAATTTCTGACAGTTTAACTGGAGCTTTCAGCCCTCAGCAAAAGGTTGAGTCAAGGGAAATGAGGCATTTTGTCAACATACGCTTTGCTTAATCTGACTAGTGCCTCAGACAGTTCTATGATGGGTTTCTCATTGCAGTCTGTGCTGGATATTAAAAATTCCTCTAAATTGGGATTTTAAAAAACTACCCAGATTTTTGAAAATTTTTTAATGATGGGGGACCAGCCAAGGGTCTCATTGGTCCACCTAACCTTCTGTAATGCTGTATTAAGACCTTCCTTTTGATCCCATCAATGTCTTGTGTCCTTTTAAAAATTTTTTTTAATTGTAGTTGGATACAATACTTTTATTTTTATTTATTTATTTTTATATGGTGCTGACGATCAAACCCAGCTCCTTGCACATGCCAGGTGAGTGCTCCACCGCTGAGCTACAACCCCACCCCCTCAATGTCTGTCTTTATCCATTCCATTTCTTAATAACTATCTAAAGGTTTCTACCCTGTTAAGTTGAGTCCCTTGATTCTTCTGTTTGTCTCTCCTCATGTTTTTGCTAATTACTTCCATGTTCTTGGTCTCTGTAAGTTCCACACAAGAAAGCCAAAATAGCAGATCCAATAAAGCTTTCAAATTGTTGTTGAATTCTGTAGGAGGAAGGTTACATGGGATGCCCATGCCAGAGAGGCCTGATAATCACAAAATTTATCATGACC